CTACCTACATTCGTGAGGATTTGCGCAGACGTGGAGTTTCACCATGCCGTCGGTTCGTTCGGTAAAATCGCCAACATGATCAAGGACGAGCTGTCGCTGAATGGCATGATGTCCACGACGTCGGACAGATTCTGGCGAGCCATTTCGGTCGCCGGAGGCGGTCACCCCTACTCTATGAAGTCTGGAACCTCTTTGGTCCACGCTGTCATGGAAAAGTATTTGTTCAGAGAAAAGATGCTCGCTTCTTGCTTTATGGCACCGGATCCCTTGACCGAAGCGAATAGCCTCCATGATCCCAACTTGGAACACGTGTTGCAGGACAAAGAGAGGTTGTATCAGTACTTGTTCGGAGACTCCGTAAGAGGAAGCCATGCATATCAGTCCACTGCGGGAGCTTCAGGTGAGAACGAGTCTGAGCGGAGGAAGAGGGAGAAGGTAAGGAGAGAGAACAAAATGCCATGGATGGATGAGTACTGGGGAGTCCTTCAGCCAGAACCAATATACTCGAGGACTCAAAGGTGGTACGTCATTGATGACTTCAAGGAGGGTGAGGAGATTTGCTGCGATTACTGTTTGGTCTGCAATCCCATAGACTCCGATTTGAAAGACGATTGCTATGCAGAATGCATCAACGGAGCAGCAAATAGATGCCGTGGGATGTCCGCAGAAGACTACGTCCAGAAGCGATTTCATGCATGTGCTCGATTGCTTCACAACTTCGGCATGGGGCAAACGGTATCTTCTCCCACCGTCATGATCTCCGAGATGAACCCGCACGTAGACTTGATGAAGTTCTTACACGAAGCGATGATCATCTTTAACAGGAACCCAGGTTTCCAGAAGGAGATCTCGTTCTTCGGGGGGATCAGGTTGTCATCAACAATGACGGAGAACTTCTTCAAAACGAGGAGAGGACCCAGCATCCATGTGGAAAAGCAGATAGTCGGCAGCGCCAAGTACTACCAGGGATCCTATGACCTTGGGAACGTGTGCTACACCAAATACCTCAAGACCATATTGGAGCCCGATGTATTCCGCGCTATGTTCGGAGATGATCCCACGGAGGAACGGGTAGGTGATATGGTGGAAGCGCTGCTGGGCATGTTAGAAATTGCCCAACTCTTCAAACACCTGTTCTTGGGATGGGGTGACATTGAGGCTTTGAGGACGGGATTAGAAGAGTCCATCAAGCGCGTCACTGCATCGCTGTACGACAGGACAACGTATGAGAACCGAAAGCGATCGATGATCAGAACATTGGACCCGCACTCTGATGAGGCGGCAAACGTGGCACTGATTCTCGTTCGCATGAGGACCATGCCGCCTCCTGAATTCGACATCGACCACTTCTTCGAAATTGGGAAAGAACCAGAACAGGGAGCAGAGGCTACTGACCAGCCCGAGGCCGAGGGTGTCGATATGGAAACTGAATGTGAACAGGAGAAGGAGGAGCAAGACGTTGACATGTCAGATCCGAAGACATCAATACTGCAAGCCATCGACGAATTCGAGAAGAAGATCGGGCAAGCAGAATTCTGCATCCACTGCATGAAGTCGGGACACACAACTCTCAATTGCGAGAAGATCCCTTCATCTTCACCCACAGTCACCTCAGTGTTGAGTGATTGGAAAAAGAGAGTGAAGGGAGAGGTTGCACCCGACGATGTACCATCCGGACATCCAGCCGAGGAGCCTAAGAAGAAGAAGCAGAGAGCATCGCCTACTCCGGATAGGAAGGTCGACAGCGAGTTCAGGCGAAAAGAAATGTTGAAAGCAAGAGTCGTGACAATGTTTGACCATGACGGGTTCACCTTGATTGAGAGTGCCGATGGAGTCGAAGGAGGGACACATTCCTACAATGGGCGGAAGCTTGCGGAAGTAGGCCCTAGGGATATGAGGGTGGTGTACGAATTTGTAGAGAAGGCATTTGCGCACTCCAGTTCCCTCAAACCAAAGGCATGTCATCAATTCTATCCCCTACCGACACGGAGGGAGAAGGGATACAAGCCGATCGACCCCATGACAATGGTCGGGAAAGTTGAGCTAGTACCGATCAACGGAGTCACTTTCGCTGCACAGAACTCCGACTACGGCAACCACAAGTATCCGACTCCAGACTGTCGAGTACCAGAATACAGCCAAGCGAGCCAGGCCCTGAGTCGTCGATTGGGAGCGAAGTTGAGGCATCGAATTGGACGCCAATTCAGGACAGGAGGAAGACTCACACCAATCAAATGCGATGAGGGCGCATGGGTGTCATGGGAAGACCTGTTAGGTGATAACGCAGTTTGGGAAGACGGTTATCACTATGGCAACATAGACATCGTGACCAAGAAAGCGCGTTTGGAGAAGTACCTCGACCAGAACTATGAGTGTTTCCGCATAACCAAGAGGATCAGATTCCAGATGTTGGCGGTCCGTGTTCACCCTGATGAACTCAATGACCCTGATGACCCGATGGAGAAGGAATGGATTGACGAACTCAAGGGCATGGGAATCTCCAAAGGAAGACTCCACTATAGCGATGGATGGTGCTTTCCCGTGGCCGTAAGAGCAACCTCAGCACACTCATCGGACGGCGGAGGTTACGACGTTACCATCAACATCGACCACATTGGATCGAGAATGACCAACGACATGGCCCTATCCATGGTGACTGCATTTCACGCTACCAATCTTGGAGCGCTGACTTCAATCATGCGACGGGGGCTAGTGCCAGGAGGTCTCGGTTCATCGGGAAGGGATTCTATCCACTTCACATGTTTTCCGCCATGGGCCTGGGAGCAGGGCTACAAGGGAAAACCTTGGCTGGGTCGTAAGGTCGCATTGAGTGATCGCCCAGTGGTTCTCTACATTCCGGTGTGGAAGCTGCAGGAGTACGGGCTTCTCATCTCAGCGACTGGATCTCTATTGGTTGAGGACGTCGTTCCCTTCGATGAGGTTAAAGGGGCATGGTTGCAATGCGACAATGCAGAACCCGGACAGCCTGAGGAGATCGAATGGATCAGGTTACTCAATAGAGAACCCGATCCTGGAAGCTACCTCGTTCTGGAGTCCAAATACGGAAACCCGATCATGACTCCACGCTACCAAAAGCTTGAGAGTTTAGCGGTTGAGGTCCAGGACGATACCTACTCCGAGGACGACGCCAAAATCTCAAAGCTGTTGGGCATGATCGAGGAGAGTGGTATCTACCCAGAATACGATAGCACTGAGTGGCAGGAAATCTTTGAGGAGATCGTATACCGCCGAGCAATGAAAGACTACGACTCAAGACCGTGTCCTAATTGTCTTGGCGAAGTCGATGTGCGATTGACGATATGTCCGCACTGCGTAGCGGTTTTGATCGCGAATGGGAAGCTCACGCATGTGGTACCCAAAGAGACAAGGGACCGCAATCAACGATCACCTCCGAGAGATGTCCCAGCCAGTTCTTCCGGTGAAGCAACTTCTGCTGCAGGTGCAAACATCGATGAAGTCATCAAGAATGCACGTAAGACAGCCGAAGAAGTCATTGACGTCGAGGAATCCGAAGGAGAGGAAGACGAGGAAGTTCCTATCATTTTGAAGGAACGACCGGACGAAGCTGAAGGCGAACCCGAATATCGGGAGGTCCCTCAAGATGGGTACGGGAATGAACTTCCACAGCCTTTCCCCTTCGCAATTGACGAATTGCCGCAAGAAGCTGCGATCCCCATCGACCACAACTTTGCAGTCACACAGCAATTTGATCTGAGGTTGATGAAGTTGATCAAGAGCTTGGCCAACGCGACGTTCGACATCAATTGCTTTGAGAGTCGTGAAGACGTACTGCGAAAGTTCGACGATGGACAACGGCATGATACTCCATACAATAGATGGCCAATAGTACCGAATGATCCGGATACTGGGTTTCCGAGACGCCTTCAGAGAGCCGAGGTCGTAGGCATGAGCAAATGGACCAACGACACGTATGCAACAGAAGCGTGGCAGATCTATGAATTCCACGCCCACGTTATTCACCCGATGATGATCACTGCAATCCGCTGCGGGCTTAGCCACAAGTACCTCAAAGAGGTCGGCAGCACTCGGCGTAACATGAGTGATCCAAAGGCTCGAAGATCTGAGACCCAGGAAGAGATCATCGAGAAACTGGCATTCATCTCAAATTTCATCAGACGCTTGATAAGGAAGACTTTCGGAGCGAGCCGATATAGTTACTACCAGAAACCAGATGACGAAGGCGCCGCTCCATACAAATTCATCGACATTAGCCCCGCCATCAAATCGGAGCGGAAGAATGTCACAAAGGAGATCCTCGTTGCATGCCGCTACTATGGCATAGAGGTATCCGATACTCAAGCACAGAAATTGAAGTTCTTCGAGGAGCAGATCCGAAGGGGGAACCCAAGGAACGTTGAGCTCATCAAGGACTACATTGGCTTTGTCGGAGCTGACTACATGCGACAACTCACGAATGGTTGAGCATTGGGGTCATACCGACATACTACTTCCGGTACTTCAAGTACTGAGGGATCTTGGGTAATTCATGATGACCGTTTTGGCATCATGGGAGTGAGATAGGATTGTGTTTCATACCGTCGGTAATCGCATGATACCGTAGGTAGGTGCACGTTTTCCGTTTGTGGCCCCATTACCTGTTTGATCCAACTTTCAAGCGGATGCAAGATCGTTTGCTAATTCAATTCAATAGGACATACTGGCTGACCTCCAATGCACTTTTGAGAACATGATTCGTTCTCCGGTTTTTACATCCACTCATCTCCCTTCCCCGTCGAAGTACGGATGTGGGGGGTGTCAATAGGGATGGGGTCCCAGTATAGTCGCTATACAGGTACATGCCATATACTTTTGGCTCAAGTGCCCAACCAGGTAAAAAGGAGCTTTAGCGCGCGAGCTTCATGTCAACCTAAGGGCTAGAACGGGGCCAGGGCACACCTTTCCATCCGTTCGCAATATGGTTGTACTTCAGTACATCCCTCCTACCTTCTCACTGGAAGGCCAAGGAGTCCGCTGCGGAGGCGCTCACCTTGGAGGCGCAGCGGCGGCGCCGAGCAACGAACTGGTCGGATGGGTGGGAGATGTTCATCCGCGTCAGAAGAAAGAGAGACTGTTCCTTGGGAGACCTGGTATACACAGAACATTGCTATCGGTTTAACATAGTTTGCCACGCCAAGGCTGTATGGTAGCAATGTTCCCGTGGCGACATTGCTAAAGCGTGGCAACATTGGCAAAAAATACTTGAGCAAGTAATTATCGGTAAATCATGGTAAATCTGTGCTGGGAATGTTGTTTTCTTAACATTGCTGAAGCAGGAGCTCCAAACAAGCCGCCTCATATGTTGGGTCTCGTAGCAGCCCTAGACACGTCAGAGGAGTTTTTGTTGGGGCATCAAGTCAAGCGGTGGAGGTCCCCCTCCAACTACAGCCGTGAGTAGCAGATGTTCGTTTTGAGCGCGCATGACCGATCCACCCCAGTGCTTCCACAGGCACGGGCCAAGCAATTGAAAGGCAGCGGCGAGGAGCAAGTGGAGGAGAGCCACTTGGACATCAGTCTTTGCTACCAGACCCCTTGAGCACCCTGAGCACCAAAGGACAAACAAGTCCTTAAATGTCCTGAAGATCTAAGACTTAAGGCCTTCTAAAGCCTTTCGAAACATGAAGGCTTCTTGTTGCTCGTGATGGCCACGAGAGCTCACAAGTCTTGGAGTCTCCCGTGATGGCCACGTGGCCTGCCACCGAAGTCGTTTGTGACCAAAAACCAAGTGAATGGCTCCGTCCCATCCAATCAGCTGTCCCAACAAAATGTACCTATAGCTATGCTAAGGTATAGCCAATAGTTCTTTGGTTGGTTGCCTGAGATGGTAGGGGTTGATAGGGCTCACAAATCCATAAAGAGCCCTTTCAATGGTTGGACCTCTGAAATCCCATTACTGAAAACACAATCCGATCTTCACAAACCAAATTTAACAGTATTTTACTTCACCAATAACTCAATCGCCTCTGAGCTGAGGTGAAGTGCGGGCGGTGGAGGCTGCGTTCACGCAGGCAGCGTTCACTTGAGCGGAGGGGCGTTTGTTCTGGGAATTATGTTAGGGCATGAGGTGAGATGCAGGTCCAAAATCAGCACTCAGACAGATACCCGAGACTAACAATCTACAACTACTTTGAACATATGTTGTTAAAACTAAAATGTTTAAACTAAGATTAAACAAGAATGACAAGAACATGTTGGTGCCTATTCTTTTGCATCTTCAGATGGTGTAGCGAACCCCATGACCTGACCATGACCTGGTTCCCTGCCCAGGTGCATCAGACCTGGCGGAAGCGCAAGCGGCTTTGCATGGACACGCTTCGAACCTTAGGAGCTTCGGCGGCGGTTCCTGCGGTTTTGGTGGGGGAGGCAGATGGAGGCAGGAAGGGGAGAAAGCCAAAAGAAGCGCCATAAGATACCATAAGCCACAAAGCTCTCATCCACTGGATGATTCAAGTTTCAACACTATTTTTCACGGAGCAATGCTTTTGGAGTTTTAAGGATTATGTGGTCTTCCCAGAAACCTTGCAGTTGTGTTTGCAAGGTGGGCCAACGCACAGCCAGTTTTACTCCGCTTTTTCGGTGGTCCGTCCATTTGTTGATCTGTTGATCGAAGGAACTGTTTTGCCCGAAGTCTTAAAGTCGACGAAGGATTCGTTCCAAAATCTGACGGATCGATCTGTTGTGCTCTCAAGTAAGAGAGTAAGTCGGGGAACTTCTAGAAAACCACGGAGTCGTTTGAGCAGATTTGGACAACCGACAGGGTGCAGCTTTGCTTCCGACTTCGCAATGGGTTTGCTCGTCCCAATGGTCCCCCCGCCCCAATGGTCACTCCGAACGCTCAAAGGAGAGGCAATGAGCACGCGGACTGACCAACTCTTAGAGCAGTATGGCGTGGACACTGACGAGGATTGTGGTCAGACGCTGCCCCTGGAATTCAGCCAGTGATCGGCTGGAGCACGAGCCAAATGCAAGTGTAAGTCGTGTATGAAGAAGGTATAACATTAGAATTAGAATACATGAAAGTTGAATAAGATGCCCGTCATTAGATGCCTGGTTTAATGCATTGTTTTTAACACAATGCCCTTATCAATCCTTTTGTGATCCCCGAGCGAAGAAAAGTCCTCGGCCAATTGGCTCGTCATTGCGACCGCGACAGAGTGGATGGACTGGAGCAGAGGAAGCGTCCAAACCCATGGAGACGTTCTTTGACATGGTCAAAGGTCCCAAGATCCTCAAAACTAATTGCCGGTGTGGCCGCGTATGAGAATGTCAGACCCAAAGATTGTTGGGAAGACACCGAATTGGTAGACTGGTAGACCAACGCCTTGGGCCCAGTTGGCTTATTTGTTACTAGTAGCTTCTTGTTACTACTAGTAAGGCACCTGTTACTACTAGTAAGGCACTTGTTTCTAATAGCTTCTTGTTGAATTCCAGTTTTGTCGGTTTCAACTCTTGAATACCAGTCTCACTCATCCACGCGAATCAGTGCTGTTGGAGACGCTCATCAGATCTTTGGCATCCGGGGCAGACAATCGTCCCCAAAGGAACTTACTCCAAAGGTTGGGAGCTTTACGAGGAGGAATTAGCGAAAGCAAGAGAACGAAGATGGTGAGCGTGGCGAATGCACGCCATTCAATACTAGGCAGGCTAAGCGGCTAAGCCTTTTGCAAGACTGCAAGCTTGCTTTTCAGGTTTAGACAGTTGAACTATCGTTCGAGTGCCACATGTTAGTGTGGGCGACAACCTGTTGCACCTAAGCATGAACTTATATCTTGTACGGAGTCCTTTTATAAATTCTGGTGCAATCCGGTGATGTTGGGCTTGCACATTCGCTTTCGAGGGTGTAAATCAAGTCCCAGTGTTTCTTGTTACATGCAGGGATGTGGGCACACCTGGACTTCCTCATATTCACAGGCTTGAAAGAGATGTGATACGTCAGTGAGACAGTACCGTTTGTGATATTCGAACCTTATGAGGCTGCTGGACCTGTACCTTCGGGATGGATTCCTTTGCCTGCTATTTTGAGGTTCATGCAGAGGTGCTGTACAGGGAGTTGCGTAGCCATGTCAAACAGGCACCCCCACCTCCAAGCTTTTGTTAAGTGTTACAAATACAGCTCGTTCATTGCTCAAAAGGGTAGCACACAGATTGAATTAATACGAGAGAAATCCGTGTAATTCAATGCAAAAACGCTGGTCACCCAACGTCGTTGTAAGAGCTTATTTTAGAGAAGGTCCAACTTTCCATTGCACGTGGTTCGCCTTTGCATCCTCCACTTGGGCGAAACATTACTGTACTGCAAGAAGTGTCAGTTGATTATGCCCAATCATTTGACACACATCACCAGGCATTCTCTCCCGGACTCCAGTAACGTCTGTCAAGTTGAGTGTAACGTCTCTGTCAGACATCCCACACTGACGGAGTCCACATGGTGCTCGATTTCCGGGGTTGAACCAACGACTCATCGAGTTGGAAGACAAAGAATCCGCGGTGGATCTCGGCGGATGAGAGCGCCGTTTGAATTGGATGGTAGTGAGCCCGAGGAAAAACTGTGGTGCCAAGGTGTTTGGGGGTTATTTCCTTTTGTTTGATGGTTGTTTTCACGATTATTTGAAGGATTTCTGGTGTTTGCATCTTTTCAGCTTGATTAAAGAGGGAACCCCGCAATGAACTGCCACTGGAATCACTGGACTAATAAGCATCAGACTGGTGAGTGATGCCAAAGCCACCATCCATGGACAGGGTCGAAAAGACATGTGGGAGTGAATCAACATCAATCATCAACACCAAACAAAAGCATCCAACATGTACAGACTCCCCTCAAAACCTCAGCTCAGGTGAGGATGTTTTCCCTCACCAAGGTCAGAACTCCTCCTGCGCCCAGGTTGGGCTCGCCAGACGAGGAGTTCTCCTCGCGCGTGGTGCTGCGGGGCGCCGAGGTGCTGGCCGAAGCCCTCACGAGGAGAAGCCGAAGCAAGCGCGCGCGAGGTCTGAAAGGAAGGGAGAGATATAAATATTAGTAAGCAGATATAGACAGATACTTATACTGTAGGTGTTTCTTTACTTCCTATGAAGATTATGAAGTGAAGATTGGTGCCTATTTTGATGTCTCCAGGGCAGTTCGGAAAGTGCACTAGAGAGAGTTACGAAAGCCAGCCTTCGTAGAAGAAGGCGAGTAGGGGGTCTGGGGGGGTGGCCCGAGAAAGCACCACGTAAACTCGAAATTAGGTGGTGTTTAGGGGTGTGCGGAAGTAAGGTTTTTGAGGTTGTGTTGGAGGTGATGTTTTGTAATTTTTGAGGGGGTGGTGATGCAAGAAATGCAATTTGCATCATTTGAATCATCTGAACAGAGGCCGATGGTAACTAGTAAGGCTGGATGAGTCGTTCATGTCCAACGGGTTGATCAATGTGGAATTTCCGGTGTTTGCTGCATGCATTCCTACCCATAGATTGATTGTCATCGGTTTGGTTTCATTGTCATCAGTCATGTGTTCGACCCAAACAGTTGGATGGTTTGAAGATGAGGACATCCTCTACCACCTGAAGGTCAGGGTTATCCCCTGGTTGGTACAGGACTTGATCGTTTTGAGTGTGAGGCCCAGTTCAGCTTCCTGGCCTGGCGAAAGCCACTGTTCGTAATATAGATATCTAATCAATAGTCTAATCAATAAACACCCTTTGCCTTTGCCCCCTAAAAACCAGACAAGCCAAAGGAGACCACTGAGACCACCAATGATGCCGTGCGATGGAGTTCCCTCTCCAGCCGGAATTCTTTCGCTCAAAACGCCGTGCGAACTCGTCTGGTCTCAGGAGCGACTTGGACGGTGGGATCCGCTGGAACTGCGCAGAGTCCCTGGGGACGTTGGGAGAGGCGTGAAACATCCCGCCATTGGTGAACGAAAGGAGACGAAGGTCGAAGACACACGGAATTCACCACGAAGGTCGAAGCAGCATTCTGACGGGAAACATGTATGTTGGCCTACTTTTTACACTCTGACGCATTAACATGGAAGTGGAAAATGGCCCCTTGGAAGACGACTTTCCTTTACGAACACGGCGCTTTCCACTTCCTTGGAAGTGAGTCTGAGGGTTTGTATGGTTGAAACGTGTTTCTCCCCGGTATGTTGTCTTCCTTTTCTTTTTACCATTGTCAGCTCCATAAATATTTAGATTCCAACCTATTTAGATTTCTGTGTCAGGTTTTCCTCACTGTGGCAACCTCAAGGACCGCCTGTAACTTGTAACTGTCACCCACTTGGCCGAACACAAACCTGTTCTTTCTGGTTCACTGGGCTGTCCCAAAAGAGCCACCAAACCAGGAGCGACTGCTGGTTCTCAGATACGTCGAAAGAGTCCAATGGACTCGATGGCTCGGATGGTCAGATGCCTCTAACCGCTGCCCTGGCACCGGGTGGATGTCCAGACATGGCAGACGGCAGATGAGTTGAAAAAGAACACAAGAACGGTCGCAACGTGTCTCTTGGGCGATCCCAGGGTCTAGAATTTGTATGTATCACCGCCGCAGCTATTTCTGGTGGTTAACAAGTTTGGTGGAAACAACATTCTGAACGACATCTAAACGACATACCTATTCTATAAATTCTATATAAACATGTATATGCTTGGCCTAGATTGTATGGTGCTTTCCGTTTGTTAGATGGTACTTGATGGTACTTGCATTTTGTCCTCAATGATCAGCAGGCAGTAGTGGCAGCATGATATGCAAACCATCTAAAAAGGCGTTGTTTTTGTATTGCTCAATGTCTTCAACAACAGCTTCCACTGTAACTCAATTCCATGAAGTCGCAACACCAGCACACGACAGTCTTCATTCTGTTTGGCTTGGCTTGTGGATCCTCTAAATCGGTTTTCGTCCACCCATCGTAGCCCCTGCTCCAAGCAATGTGACATCCTCCAATCACCATGTCACTGGGAAACACGATTGTTTTCAGCCGGTCTTGAAAAGCGCAGTGACTTCTCCAGATGAGGGAGTGAAGATGATACACTGGATGCCCTGGTCCTATTCTTTCGTCCAGTTGAAGCAAACGTGCTTTTCTGGGTCAATGTGTTTCGCTTGGTTGTGAGGTTTGATCTAGTGCTGGGCGCATGACAGTATTTGGAGTGTGAGACTCTCCAACCACTGGGTTTTGCCGCTAAGAGCAGCGTGTTACAGCTGCTCTTAGTCTGTTCTGACAATCACGGAACCAAAGGATCGAGCTGCGCCACGGATTCAGTCTGGTCTCCGCATCTCCACGCAGTCTGGTCCTGCTCATTCACGGGTATTTGCTGTCTCCACCTTACGCTTATGTCATTTTCTTGAAGCATTCCGCTTCTTCATGTCTTTTTGGCACCCCAATTTCTTAGCCATAGTTGTTGTCATCACCTCCTGTAAGTTTTTCTTGAGAACCTTTTGTGTGTTGGAAGCTTCATTTGCAGTCCTTCCAGTAATGAATGCACATACATACGCACATATACGCACAATGATATGTTTTGTTTGTGCAAATTCTTTATATTTCCTTTGTGCAGTGAATCACTGCTTAACCTAGCTTGCTTAATCTAATTGCTAAACATTGCTAAATCATATATTACACTCTTGGAGGTTTCCAGACATCCTTTCCGAACACCAATCCACATGAATTCAAAAGGCGGCGGAGAAACATGAAAATACAAACCGAAGCAATCTGCATTGAGCAGTCTAACATCGTTCAGTCTTTCAAGTTCGCGTGGAACTTGACCGACTCTTGAGTCAGACCACTCTCAGCGTTCTGACTCCGATCTGTCGCCACAGGGAGAAGGATCTGGCGCCGAGGTTCGACAGTACATTCCATGGTGGCTCCGTCCACCTATGTTGAGAGGATCGTGAGGTGCCATGAGATTGAGTATACTCATCCTAATATGTGTGTTTTCATGTGTTTTCTTCTACTTCTCTTGTAGATTGCATCCTT